ATATCTACGTTTTAACGATCATATTAAATTTTGTTTTGTCTCAACAAAATATAGTTTATTATTAAATTTAAAATCAAAGACATCAAAGTTATTTCGAAATGTATTTCGATCAACACGAAACGCATTATAATATACGGTGTTGAGCAAAAAACACAATGGTTAAAGGTTATTCATTTTAATAATATTTTATAATTAATAAAAATAAGGCTAAACAAAATCAATAATGAGCACTGGTTTATATTTTAATCACGGAGTAATAACAACATCACTAACTAGTCACTTTTATTATACCTACTCTAAAAAACAAAAATGTAACCTAACCTTTCAATGCCAATAATATAATATCATATTATTAATAATTTAGTGTTGAACAATTCAATAAATGTATATTTATACTGCAATGTGTCAATTTTAAATTACACAATATGAAATCTTTATACATATTGTAATCGTCGATTGATTATGTTGAGTTGTTTCGCCAACACCTGTTACATACCTATTAGTTCTGGATCTTTGACGAGCAGCTGCGGTGTTCGCATCGTATAAATGCCACCAAACCTCTGGTCACCCAGCTCCTTGTAAAGGTTGTGCAACACATCCATGAAGTGCATCCGGCCCAACATGGAGGGCATGGCGTGCCCGAACAACGGCACCGGCGCCGACGGACAGGATATGCCCAGTTTGGACCAATGGCTGTGGGTCCATGTGGAGTACATGTATATGGCACCCAGAAACGCGGTGACCAATAGCATCTTCAAATCGAACAGTTCGTAGACGAATTCAAACATTATCGTTTTGGGTGGAAGACAGACATGCGAAATTAATTTTACTATTCGATCGAACGTCTGCCGGACGACTGTCGACCGTTCTGTTGATTTGTATTAAATCGGGTACATGTGTAATCGTATATCACCGATTAGTAACGCGTTGAAGGTAGCGCCACTAATCTCCAATTAAATTTTTATATTCATCGTATTTATACGTAGGTTAATGTATTTCAAACAGTACCTATACGCCTACACATTTTTTTTCAGTTACCTATTTTATTATTAAACGTCCTTCAATTACGTACATAATATAATTATTGCTGTGCAATTAATATCACATTATGATTGTTATGAACACACCAAACATCTTCACATAACTTCAAGGACGCGTTCCACTGTAGTGCAAACTGCAATTAATGTGTACATATTTATCTATAGTTCACATGCACTTTCCTGTGAGTCTTATTTCTATTCATAAGCTCTAATAACCATGCCATATAAAAATTATGCATAATAAAAGCACATCACATACCTAGTAGTGATAATCGAGTTTTCACCGTTTTTTTATCATTCATACTTAAGTCATTCGCTTTTTCTATTTTTCTGATTTCTTAATAGTATGTATTTATAAACGTAAGGATAAATGACCTAAGACAATTGAAAATGTTTAAGAAGAGTTAAAAGTTCATATTTAATCTACAAGCTCTAACCAATTTTGAATTTGATGATATGCCGTTAAAATATTACTACATTATCATACTCTAATTTTTCCAATATTATATTATGGTTTTTAATTTGTAATATAACACTACTTATACAACGATTACAAGGAATGAATTTACATAAATTATGATTTATTCTATTGTCATAATATGTTATCAATATTATGATTTAGGTAGCTGTAAACAGTTCATACAATACCACTTTGTGTATTAGCAATATACAAAAAAGTAAAAGCAAAGTTTAGAAGAAAACTTTCATGGAAAATAACCAAAAAAAAGAGTCTTAATTACAAAATCATTAGATTCCAAGTTTACTTCGTTTAGATTCTAAACATACACAATATATCTTTCAAAATTCGCTATTTATTTATGAAATTTAAGGGCTGAAATAAATAAACTATATTTGATTATTGGGTTTTAAGGATGGTTATAAGTACGTGTTCAAAATATTTTTGTAGTTAAGATTATGTGCAGCCAAGCAGATAGAACCACTTCAGATCGACAAACGGAGTGAAATTTTAAAATGATACGACAAAAAGTTTCATGTAAAAGTTCTTGAGCCTCATAAATCACAGTTAATTGCATTTAACGTGGTTACATTTTTGGTTCATACGACCCATTTAAGGGGAAAACGATAAAATCAATAAACAATTAAATTAGACAAGCGAGCACTCTAAGCGTATACGACTTTAAATAATGATTATAAATCGAGTATATCCAAACAAAGTAAAAAACCACATAAAACACGATGAGTATCTGAATCAAAAAAGTTAAAATTAATAATCTATTTACTTCGATACTCAAGTATAATTGATACTATAACGATTTGTTTTTGTTATTTACGATAAATATATAAAATAAACATAAATCGGTGAAATCAAATGTCATTGAAAAATTCACTTTCCATTTATCTTTTCGTACAACAAAATTATTTAGAATTTGTTATGACATAAAATGTTTTGCTTATACATCACAATTATTTACAAGAGATATTCGTACGATTAATCAAATCACATGAATTTGAGATTATGCATGGAAAAATAAAAATCATAACAAAAAAGTGTATCATTTATTTATTGATAAAATCATAAGATTTTACTTTGTTTAAAATATAGGTGTAAAAGTTTTAACGTTCCTTATTAAACATTAATAAACGATGGCAGCAGAGGAGTAGTAGTGTTCACACAGATCCTCCTCTGCTGTCGGTTCAAACGAAAAAAAAAAAAAAAGGTGTATAAGTTAATGATAAAAAGTAATATTTTTATAATTTTAAAATCTCTAGCTATATTACTAAAATGCACAGTTGGTAATTTTTATATTTGGCATCAACTGCATGGTTTTTACTATGGGGGAAGCTCCAGAACACGTGAGCCTATATGTGCGGCAAGGATTTGCCACTAAAGAACCCGAGTGGTCATCCATCCGGTAACTAATGACACCTGTAAATGCTTGTACTCAAAATACGCTTGTAACTGAAGCCAAACACCAAGCCATACGATTGGTATTATAATTTATTATATTTATTCAATAAATGGATACGCATTGAATATTATTGGCATAGAATTCATCTTAAATAAATAAGTGAATAAAATTAATTTGTACCTTCACAATATAACAATTGTTTTAATCGTGATAAAATATATCACAGTCTCAACATTTTCAAACACACCAAATTTGTGTTGTTTTCAAAGGAAAATAAAATACCGTAGCGATGTTCAGCGATGTACAGTTTTTATTTATAGTATACATAATTAATCAAAAAAATTGAAATCTTAAGAATATAAACAACTAATCATAAGACAATATTTGAAAACAGAACTATTAATACGAATTTATATAATACATACAACATATAATAAGAAAAAGGAAGGAACAATTTATATTTTTAACTTTATAAAAATATTATCATACTTTATAAAATACTACAATAAAATTACATACAAAATATTAGTGACTATTTAACTATAATTTATAACAGTTATATTGATTATTTTATAAACTTCATTCATCATTGGATGACTACCATTGAATAAATGTATAATATTATATAACTATTTCGGTATTATTCAATACTTATAACTTCATAATATAAAGAATACATAATTGCAATGAACATAAAGTGTCCAAAATCAGTATTTTATAAGTATCTAAGTAATTAAGTAAAAGTAATTAAGTAATATAGGTGAAAAAATAACTTTCAAGTATGATTTTAATTTAAAACAATGACAATGGTTTTATAGTTAATCATAATTTTATTATATTATGGCACTGAATAAATTCTTTATATTATAGTTTTGTACCATACAAATTAAACTTGTAAAAACTGGGGAATAATAGTAGTCTCTACTAATAATAGTTGTCGAGAGTACTGGGCAGTTGAGATTGGGAAGGTAGGTCTCTAGATGTGATGTGTTAAATTTTAATTCGGTGATAAATCACAAAAAATACGATGAAAACCGAATCTGAGAGCGGACTATCTGTCCACCTACGAGGATATTTTGTTATAATATATATTTTTTATATTGCTTTAAAGTTTAAATAATTTTTTTCTATCAGTGGTAAAGTATAAGTCAAAGGCTTGAAACTCATTTCCAGTAATTCCCCGGAATTTTCCTAAAACCATTAACGGTGCTATTATACACTGTCTCCGTTTTCCAGGTAAACCCGCGTTACCACTATTCTTCTGAGGATCTGGTGTTTATTAATGACTAGTGAAATCGTTTTACCTCAACAATATTATTTAGTTTGGTGAATACCAAGAAAATTCTGAATACAGACGAAACGGTTTACACGGAGACGGTGTTCATACAATTAGTCATCGTTTCACCGATCGTCACTTGTACTAGGAAATCAGTAATTTGGGTAACTAAATATAGAAGATAATGATAGACGAAAAACACATACATCATTATTAAACTACTAACGCTTCACTCAGAGCATAAAATACTTCTAATATTGTACCAAAAATGTATTTACTTAAATACCGAACTTATATAATGTTTATTGTTATGTTCAGAATCATTAAAATGTATAATATGAGTAATATTATCCATCTCGAGTATACAATATTCATTATTCATAAGCCAAACAAACTGATTTAGTGATTTGAAACCAACATACCTATTGAATGATATTATGTTTGTCTGATTAAAAATTATTAAATTATGATATGGTAATTTAAACTAAGTATTTATGATACATTGATACGCAAAACCAAAAATATTATAATCTATGAAGAATTTAAAAATATTGTTCACTTTAATGTTTTTATATTATATTGCTCACACTCTACGCCGTGCCGTTCAACGCAAATTATGGAAAACAATATTCAGATAAGCAGCTTAATATTATGATTTATATTTTATAATTTTAATAATATTAACGATTATTCAAATATAATAACTCTAACTACTTTAAAACTAAAAATAAATGTAAAACGTTCTTAGTCAATAAGTTGTACTTTTTAAATAAAACAAAAAAAAATACATTTTAAAATTACATTAGACTTTTTCAAAAATTAAAATTCAATTTCTTCTGATTTTTTTTTTAATACTTTAAAATAATATTATTTGATACATATTTTTGGCATCAACTACAACATTATTAGCCAATTCGACTATATATTTACATTTATTTTTGAAAAAATATAATTTGCTAATGAAGTTATTATATTTCATTTATTTATTTGTTTAGCGTATATTGTAGTCAACAAGCCAAACTGTTTTTATCAGTGCGAGGTTTTCTTATTGAGTTTCCAGTAAGTAGTTGGTATATTTTGTGTCTTAATTCAGTATATTGTTAGAATTCGAGAACTATAATATGCGTCATTGTGATGAGGGTCTGCCAACTGAGTATAAAAGTGGATCTTGATATTACGCATTATTATAGATAATTTTCACAATTATTCTGTAAAAATCACTTGATGAAATCAATATGATAATATGGATTATCCTTCAATTTAGTCATATAATCATACAAAACTTTAAAAACCAAGATAAAGCTGTTATTGTTTAATCATAATATTTACCTTGTACAAATAAAATATCCATGTAAATTGGTTTTGTTGTTACGTTCTGTCACTTGGTTTGCTCGATTGAAATGAGACGAAACTGGTACCCAAATAATTTTAATACAATATATGATGACGTATTCGGTGCACGTTTTGTCTATAATTATTATTATCATCACGATATACGTCGACGTTTATTAGCTGGTCTACGTCGTTCGTTGCAGGACGTCATCGTTGTCGTCGTCACCAGTTTGTTTCCCCATCCTGTGTAGTTTTCGATCGTTCGAACAAAAATAATATTAATAATATTATGACGTGACGTTTATCGCCACGGTGAAGCTACCACGGGTACCTTCTTGGGTTTCCTGTGCGTGAGAACTGTCGGCTGGATCGAAAAGTCTCCAACTGATTTCCTGTGGACATAGAATGCCTCTGGCTTGGGCGCCGACGGACCTCCGGCGCCGGAACCTGGGTCCGGAACTCGGCGGACGCGGAAGTGCAGCAGCAAGAGGCCTCGGTGCATTTCGAGCCGCAATCGTCGAGTTTATAGACGGGTACGAGTTTTGCGAATTTTCGTCGAACTTGCAGATGATGCCGAAGTTATTAAACAATCATTATTACATTATTATATATTACGATCTGTGATATTCCGGGGTGTGATCGTCCACGTATCGATGAGATGTGAATAGTATTTAATTCGTCGCCACAACGCCTATATTAAAGGCAATCGGTATTCGTAGACAAATGTCGAATTTGGCAGGGTATTTGAAAAAGATTGACGCACGGTGCCTGTCCTTTAACAAACTACAGCAGAGGGCCGCCTCGTGATTATCGAACAAGTCGACCGTGGTCCATGAAACGCGTAACTCTTATACTGTAATAATGATAATAATATGATGAATATAATACTGTTTTGATGCGCTCTTATTGTTTATCTGAAGCTCACGCCTGTTTGTTTTATGCGGGTCGCGATGGATGGCGGGCTGGGTGAGAGATTAGTCTTATCTCGGCCGTGACCGACGCGCCATATAGCTATGTATTCAAACAAAAAGCGCGATTGCTGCCAAGACATTTGTGTTCATATCTATGTATTTTATGGGCGTCTAAGGCCAAATGATCATCTGCTCCACATCGCTAAGCCACGGTAATCCGCTCGGACCGAAATAATAGTTGTGTGGTTCAAAATGCCTAATCGAAAACAAGAGATCTTGTGAATTTGACGTATTTTCCCAAGACTTTTAGGGTAACCAAGATTAAGATGAACAGGGGCCTAGAAAAATCTAATTGGTATATATTATATGCCTTCTCTCAACAATCTCCCCTGCCCAAAAAGTAATTTCAAATTGTTACCTCAAATAGTTATAAAAGTCGTTTGAAATTAAAAAAACAAGGTGAGTACACGTTAATAAAACTAATAATAAGTTTTTACAAAATGCTAGGAGACTCTCTACTCGCTTTGCTCACCAACCACCTGAAGATTCAAAAATCCCCGTGGAACTACGCCTACCCTTACAGGTTTCTACGGACGGGTGACCCAACGATGGTGCACCTTTGCATTTTGAAATTAAATATCTGTAATTTAAAATATTTAAAAATTAGGTATGTATGTGAAATATAAAATAAACAAAACTTGTTCATATAATAGAGAGATTACATATAATAATATTATGCATATAATAATGTATAATAATATTATACACGAATGCACCAAAAATCTTAAATCTTTGACAGAAAACATTATTATAAATGAGTTAATCATCATTTTTCATCACTGTTTTTTCGACAAATAGTCTTTAATACATGATATATTTCTAAATCTATTTTATATCTTACTAGACCTTATATTATATCTTTTATATACGTTTTTATCTTTCTCGTATTATCCTCATAGGTGGCATATCACAATAAAACTATAATATATACATAATTTACTCATTATATAATTATTTATAATATACAAATACAATTAATCATGACATGAATCATAGACAATTTACAGCCAACTCCCTATAATAACATGTCTATATTATATTCATGATAATATATCTAGAAATATTTTTACAAACAACCATTATAAAAAAAATCTACCCACGCTAGGTTTCTTTATTGTACATAACTTTCTAACCAAAATGCATTCCCAAGAAATATTATTCTATTCTGTATTTTCTTTTGAACGAATGTAAAAACAGACCTCATCGTAAAGTCCTCAGATTCAATATTCATAAGATATCATGTTGTGATATGGTTGAACTTAGACTGTAGGTATTTTAGAATATTAGACAGATCGGGTACGATTTACATAAACAATGTTCCACTAGACTATAATATCACTCATGAAAAAACTCTTACATAAATAAAATATTATTTAATATGAATTCACTGGTATAAATATATGGTTAGCTCTACACATCGCAAATGTCACTACAATACCTACCTGTTACCATGTATTATCTATAAATATACGTAATATCAGTTTAGTCTGAAGATAGAATTATATTGTATAATTATTCTTGAGAATCAAATGTATTAGTGTCTCCCGACAGTTTGTAGTTTTTTTAGTAAAGAATAGCATTCTATATAAAAAAAATTAAACATTTTATGTGCACATACCAAATTTAATCATAAATATAATATGGTTTAAGATTAAAATACATATTATGAGGTCATGGCGAATAAAAAAATAACAATCTTAAATTTCACTTGCGGTTGGATTTAATAAATAATTATGAAATGGAAATATAAAAAAAATATATTTTTTATAATTTGAAATGAAACTTATTAAAATTGTCATTTGTTGAGGAAAAACTATTTCATTTTTAAAAAAATTGTATGTATCATGAAATTATTTTCAAAAACAAGCATATAACCATATTATGTACAAAACTGACTTAATTGATATTGCACCATATTCTATTAAAAAAAAATATTATAATCATATCATACTCACGTTAAAAATATTACATTGTATACTATTTAGGCAGTAAGTGCCTCATAGATATTAACATTTTGAAACACAATTTATTTTAGTATTTCTCTAAAAAATATAATTGTAAAAACCAAAATATTATATAAATTAATAAATAAAAATGTATTATGAGATTAATTGTTATAGCCTGTTACTCGAGCATCGAGGCTTATATAATAATGAATAGCACACAATAATAATATATTATTGCAATAAAAATTTCAATTTATTCAGCTAAAGAGTTACAATAATATTCGGTTATAAGCAATATTTCTGTGAGTATTTAATTTTTTATTATGAATTCGAAATAAAACAACCTTAAGAAACCAGAACCTTAAACCCAGAACGTTGGAGGGTTTAAAAATATAATAAAGTGTACAGTTTTTACTTTTCCCCCGTCGATTGTACATCGAAAACAGCGCCTAACATATATCTCGATTTATTTTCAACCGATGGGTTTTGTATAAAAAATTAATGACTTTCCAATGCTCTTAAATGGAAATCCTACTGAGGATTAATGTTTTTCTGAGAAAACACTCATATATATGTACATCTACAACACATGTGTATATATATTTATAAGTACATAGTGCTAGATTTATTTTTAAGTCTCGTGTAGCTCCATATACCTACAGCGAGCGGTGGATATAGCTTAAGTAAACAAAGTCAGTGCAAGGAGCACTAATAATGGTTGCATCAGTGGTCGGTCGGACCCTAACCTAACCTTTAATGAATATGTTGTTTTTCTATTTAGTCTTATTTTTAATCCTTGTAGCGCGAAATGTTCATACTTCAGACAAATAACGGCAATATTACAATTTACAACGCATTCATTGTACAAATGTATTATTACCATAGAAGGTGATTGTATTATCCGGAACCATGCAATATCTTAGAAAATAATAAATGACATTTTAAAGTTATTCATTTTTTATTTTTAAAGTCCACAGTATTCGTTGTTAAAAATTAAATTAAATATGAATTTTTATCTTTAAAAATATCACCCAGTTAACTGTAAGACATAAAATTTTCGAAATGACGTCAAGGTTTATACTTAGGATCTTAGCGTTTCGTAATAATGACTATAGTATTCACATTTATTTTATATAATGTGATAAAAAATTAATACATTGTTATTAATAAAAATAAATATATTTCATATGTTGAACAGTTTAGTGTGTTTTTTATACACATAATCATTGTTTATTATTTTAAGATAGAAAAAACAACAGTGCTTGAAAGATTCGATTGTGATTATGTTTTGTAAACATTCAAAAAAAATATTTAATTCATATATCATCAGAAAAATGTAATTAGCAAGTGAACAATTAATGAACAGCTTTAAAATTATTGAATAAAGCATAAAGTGAAGTTAAGACTAAGAATGTATAACAATATTTTTAAATATCAATAATAAGTAAAAATTAACAAATTCAATAACAAAATATGCTATTGACAAAATCACTCACTTATCGACTATCATTAGTTAGTTATTAGTATTTTTTTTTAAATGTTAACCAAATTCCGTTTTCTGGCATTGTAATTATAGCCTTTTTACTAAATCGTATAGGAACTTCAGTCTTTTCACACGGTTCTATTTCAAATTTAGTTAAAATCTCAACCAAAGCCAATTTCATTTCGAGCTCAGCAAAACGTTTTCCTATTGAAATAAATATACATTTTTTACATCCAATAGTAAAGGTATTCCATATGGTTATTTTAATAATTTACCTATACAAATTCGAGGTCCATCGCCAAACGGAAGATAAGTACCACTTATACGTTTGCGTTTTTCTTCGGGTGAAAATCTTTCTGGATCAAATAATTCAGGATCCGTAAAATACTTTGGATCGTAATGCAGTGAATAAATAGGAATTATTACTTTTTGGTCCTTTTCAATAGTTAATGAATCGTTTGGTACGTGATATGTTTGTGATGCTTTTCTGAATAAAGCAAAGGTTGGTGGATACTTACGGAGTGTTTCTAAAAGTTATAATATTTATATACTTACATTTTCATCTTAATTTTTGTACTAAGAAAAAAACAATAATATTATAAAAATAATCAAAACAGTTTTAATAATTACTAAAATATGCAATACAAAATTATGAAGATTATAGATTAACACTATATTTTGTTTATTTCTTTAAAATTTTGGACTTCACTCGTCTAGAAAAGTATGTAATCATATTTATGTAAATAGATTAATGAATTATGATAATTCATTAAATCAAAAAAAATATGTGTTCACAAAATCTCAGAGCATTACAGTTTTTAATTTTAATACAACACATTTTCTTATAAGCTAATTGGGACCATGAAAAACTTCCTGAACTCTCCTCTACCGATCTACCCCAAAATGTCAATACAAGAAATATATTATTGTAATACCAATAGATTTCTCGATTCACTCGAGCAAATAATAAAAATAATGCATTATTCGCATAGTTACCTGCTAAAACCATATCTAAATAGTTTAGGTCTATCAACAAATCGTTATTTATCAGTCCGTCGTTTTTGGATAGTTTAAAATTAATTTCTTCACGCACTTTGTCTTGGATATTCTTCTTAAACGCTAGTTCATATAAACAAAAACTAATAGCAGTGGATACGGTTTCAAATCCAGCAGCAAACATAACAAATGCATTGGCAACAATCTGTGATTCGAAAAATCTTTCTAATAGGAAATAAAATAAAATTCACATACTTAGGTAAAATTAATTTTAAGTTTTCGAAAAAATGAACTTTTACCGCCTTGAGGTATATTTTTATTCAAAACCAAATCGTTTCTTGCTTGTATCAAGGCTTGAACAAAATCATTCCTGACTATGTTGTTTTTTTCCCTATATGTTATCGTCTCATGAAATGCCGAGTGGAAAAACTCAGTTGCGTCCGCTGGGAAATCCTTAAACTTTAGAATATTCAAAAGAGCCGGAGTGATCATCAAACTCAATTCCCTTAAATGTGTTCTTAATGAAGGCATGAACAAAGACTTCCCATACTTCCGAAATGTAGAATTATCATCACTTACGGCATTTAATTTGAGACCAAAAATGCAAGTGCCAATGACGTCGGTTGAATATTTTCCCAAAATGTCACGCACTTCCATTTTATTGTCAGTTTTTGTTAAGTTCTTATGAATATTTTTCATTAGCTCATCACCACACTCTTTGATTTGATCGTACATTAGCTTAAGTTTGCCTGAAGTAAACGCTGGGCTCAAAATTTTCCGAATTAATTTCCATTGGGGATTTTCCATGAAAAATAAATGGTTCGACAAAGGATTTGCTGAGAAATCTGAGTAAATACCACGATTAGGAAAATTTGAGAAGTCTTTGATAAGCACATTGTTAATTATTTCCGGATCGCGGATCATCAAATACGGAGTTCTCATCTGAAATAAACCTCCGTATTTGTTCCCAGCCAGCTCATAGTAAATTTTCCTGTAAAAATCTATGGGATGTTGCATTCCAAAAGCTACATCTAGGAAATTACCGAACAATGGAATTGGCTGAATATAAGGCACGTTGATTTTTTCCCATTTACTAAAAGTCGAAGTACAAAAATAATAAGTAATCATAAAAATTG